ACTTAGACCTTACAGGACGGCATGCAGATGGGACATGCAACTACCACGCCATAAGGATGTGAACATCTAAAGACCTTGGCATTATTCATGTGTGCTCACAGAAGCAACCCCAGCTTACATCCAGAGAAGACTGTGCATAGGAAGGTATGTAAGATAAGATTACAGGAAATACATGTTAGCTTTTTCTTTTAATCCTAAAGGCAGTTGGATGTCAACAAAGAGTAACATGCATTCTGAGGTTGGGTTGAGAGAAGGGGGAATAATGAAATTTTTACTTTCAATCAAATTTTAAGTGAATATTTAAATTGAATATTTAAAATTCTTAGAATAAGCTGATGAACATGCTTTAACAAAAATAGACACAAATCACTATGTTTTGGGGTCTACAGTAAGCACATACATTCAGGGGCAAGACAGAAATGGAAAAGACTTTTCTCTGTTGAACTGATATTTTTAACCAAGTAAGATCATGAAAGGCCAAAAGTTAGGGATCTTGGTACAAACTTATAATCTCAGGAGGATCAGCAAGTTCAGAGGTCATTCCCAGCTACACAGTGTCATGCTTCAGCATCACTGGGAGAATGGACTCCTACAAGCTTTACTCTGACCTCTGCAAGCATGCCTCTTGACCTCCTCCCCGGCCTACCACCCTTAACCCCCATCCCACCACACACATGTACACACAAAATAAATAATAAAATTGTGACCAAAACAAAAATGAAGTTCTAAAGCAGGAAGAAAAACCAATAACTCAAAAAAGGAAAACAATTTTACAAAAACAGACTGGGAAATGAGCAGTTAGAACACAGAGCCAAGCAAGAGGCACGTTCAAGGTAAGAGGAACAAAATACAGTTAGTTAGCCTGAGCATCCCAGCCTGCTTATCATGGCACATGAATCCGCACACCCTCGGTGTCTGAGAGTTAGGACGCCACATTAAAGGGAGGACACAGCTGCCAGCTGTGCTCACCTGATCCCCACTGCAGAGTCCAAGTTTCTGACCGACTTGTCTACTAATTTCAGCCACATTTTCACTGTGATCACTGAAATGTCTGCCTTCCACCCAGCTCAGGTAGGTGGGCCGGTGATCCCAGGTTACTTCTATAGCTTGATTCTATTTATCCAAACAATAGGAAAGAAAAAGGGGTTAGTTCTTATGATACTCTCCCCAGATTCTGACAAGCAACCAAAAACAGTGCTGTAGACAGACAACTACTCTTTATTCACATTTATCATGGAAGAAAAAAAAACCTATGACCATCTGGAACATCCACTAGCGGTGATGCTGGGCTCAAAGCCGAGAGTCTAATAGTCTCAATGGCCTAATTTAAGCGATTCAGAGTTCAAAATACCACAGGGAGCTGATAACTTACACAGATTTTCAGTATGTATGTGTTTAAATTAGTAATTTAAAAAGAAAATAACATACATTCAGGCAAAATGCTCATACACATAATAAAATAAAAATTTTAAAATATATAACAAGCCGAACGGTGGTGGTGCACGCCTTTAATCCCAGCACTCGGGAGGCAGAGGCAGGAGGATCTCTGTGAGTTCGAGGCCAGCCTGGTCTACAAGAGCTAGTTCCAGGACAGGAACCAAAGAGTTACAGAGAAACCCTGTCTCGAAAATCCAAAAAAAAAAAAGAAAAAGAAAAAAGAAAAAAATATATATATAACAACACAATTTAGAGTTATGAAACACCAACCAGCTGCGATATTTAATATCTTACTGATCAATGAATTTATTTAAAAAGTAATAAACACACAAAATAAAAGTACAAAAATTAAAAAGGTAAAAAGTGAACACAGGTCTGTGTTCCTAGAGGGAATTACTGTTAGTTGTCTCTTGTACTTCCTTCCTGAAATGTTTTATTATGTACTTTTTAAATGACTTTTAAAGTTGATAGAACTGCCTGGGCATGTTAGTACATGCCTTTAATCCCAGCACACGGGAGGCAGAAGCAGGCTGACTCTATGAGTTCGAGGCCAGCCTAGTCTGCATAGCGAGCTCCAGGCCAGCCAAGACTACACAGTAAGAGACAGTCATTCTCAAAAAGAAAAGCTAAACAAACAAACAAATAAATAAAGGTCATAAAACTATAAGAACATATCATTTTAAACGGGCTGGAGAGATGGCTCATTGGTTAAGAGCGTTGTGGTACTTCTGCCTATGTGGATCCAGCTCTGTGCTCTCCCGGCCTCCACAAATATCCTCACATGTGACAGACAGATATACACACAATTAAAAATAAATCCTTAAAATTAAAAATATATTAGAATAACAAAACATGAAAATAATGTAATATGTAAGCTTGTGGCTGAGAATTAAAGACCAGTGTCCTCCATGGCTACAGAAGTGTACTTCCAGGGCTGGCACTGCACATCTGTGACTCTAGCAACCGGGAGGCTGAGGCAGAAGGGTTGTGATTCAAGGTCAAATTGGGTTACACAGTGAGATTCTGACTCTGAAAAAAAAATTACACTCGTTCGAGGAATTGTGAGAAATATGTGCACTTGGAAGGAAAGAAATTCCTTTCACAAAAACACAACACTATGAACAATTTTGTGTGCTCTGCTAACGCTTTTCAGTCAGTGATTCATGCGTTTGTATATCATGGGCAAGATTTACAGGCTTTACCCTTTCACTACTGCATCGCAAGCATTTCCACATACTCACCCTCCTTAGTAAAAAGCCAGCAGGCTGAAGACTTGCTATCTCAGGAAGCTTAATGTTATTAAGTTCATTTCTCTAAGTCAAAATAAATCCAAACCTTAAAATGGCAAACACCAGCCGGGCTGTGGTGGCACAGGCCTTTAATCCCAGCACTCGGGAGGCAGAGGCAGGCAGATCTCTGTGAGTTCGAGGCCAGCCTGGTCTCCAAGAGCTAGTTCCAGGACACGCTCTAAAGCTACAGAGAAACCCTGTCTTGGGAAAAAAGGCAAACATCAAACTCTCATTTACACTAAATTTCAGTACTTTATCTTTCTTTTAACAATACCAATTGCAAAGAATACTAGAGTCCCTTCTGAGGCAAGATGGCACTCAAATGCTCTTTAATAAACTTGTATACACAAGAAAGTCACTGATAGCCAGTCCTCAGGGTGCACTCTGGAGGCGGGCAGATCTTTGAGTTCAAGGCCCGGCTAGTCTGGTCTACAGAACAAGCTCCAGGACAGTAAGAACGACCAGAGAAACCCTGTCTCGGAGAAAGTCACTGTGTAACCTTTAGTTGCATATTGCATCATTTTCTCACAATTTCCAAACAATGATCCAACTGTTTTTGCTGACAGAGATCATTCAACTAAACACAATTTGATAAAGGAAAATAAAGCACCAGTTTGGAGTCAAAAGTCCTAGGTCATTATGTAGGTTATAAGGGCAGAGGTCAAGGACTTTTGTTATGGGGTTTCATAAGCTCAGCAACTCAGTCCCCTGATTTCATAGGAAACCTTTAAAACCAGTGACACTGCAGGAGGAAATATGAATTCTAAAATATCCAAAACATCGACGAAGCCCCTGCCCTCCAAGGGAGAAAAAGGAAAAAAAAAAAAAAAAAAAACAACCTGAGCAAACAAGAAAGACATCTCAATCATTTTTTTTGGCCAAAATGTAGTTACTAGTCAGGTGGTGGTGGCTCATGTCTTTAATCCCAGCACTAGGTAGGCAGAGGCAGGTGGATCTCTATGAGTTTGAGGGCAACCTGATCTACAGAGTGAGTTCCAGGACAGCCAAGGGCTGTTACACAGAGAAACTCTGTCTCAAAAAAAAAAAAAAATTAAAAAAGACAAAGGGTAATGAGACAAGCTGGAGCTTGTGTGATTGATTTCCTTCCCCCACAAAGCAAACACATCAGACAGTTAAAAACTGTCTATTTGGTGAAGACAAACTAATTAACAACAAGAATGATTCTGATGAAATTGGTATGTTTTCATAGGTGGGTTTTAAAAGCAAGATAGAAGTAGCTCAAGAGGAAAGAAAGGTGGGCTAATTGAAGTCATTTCAACTGTTGGATAGTTCTTTTATGATCTAGTAGTCCGGTATCATGCATCTAGGATTTTAAGAGAGTACAAATATTCTAATTTTCGTCCCCATGAACACACTCAAACCAGAGAACCTATCTGCACTCACTCTTTGTTAAAAAAACAAACAAACAAACAAAAAAAAAAACCTGGATGCTGTATTTCCTCAGATGGTTATAACGTTGAAACACCATAATGACAGCATCCAGACAGTGATAGTTTGGGGAGATCCACTTGGATCCTGGTTACCACGTGAAGGTGTGAGGTAGGAACAATTCCATCGCCTTCTCTTCCCTTCCCTGCACACCCTTGCAGTGTAGTGTTCGAAGCCCTCCTAATAATAAGCTGTCACCTTATTAACCTTCTGCATAAATTGGCAACCTCGTAATCTACAAATCAAGTCTGCCACTCCAGGCCTCTGTGGCAGTACTGGCAACTCGCTGGCAGGACAATACTCTAATAACCATGGAAAAGCTCTCTAGAGCTTTTCAACCTAGAGTTAGAACTGGACCCAGCTAAAGAGGCGGACTAGGAAATCCTAGCCGCGGTGCGGGTGGTGCTGGCACCTCACGCCGTGCCCGCTGCGGGGCTCGAGCGACGGGGAAGGTGTCAGCCGATCCCACACGAGCGCGTTACCTGCAGCAGGTACAGCTGGGCCACGAGGCGCCGCGGCAGATGGAGGAAGCAGTCCCGAGCGTTCGTGAAGGCCACCGTCACGACCGCCCCGCCAGACCCCGCACCCGCCAAACGCTCGCTGCTCCACATCGTCCCGGCGCAGCTCCCCCAGCCCACCCCAGGCAGAGTCCGCCCCCTTCCCCGGAAGGCCCGGGCGGCGGAGCCCGAGAACATCGATCGGCCCCTCCCTCCTCCGAGCCTCTAGGGGGCGGCACACTGCAGACCGAATTCTCGCTCTCAGGAGACGACGGTCCAGCCGATCTAAGCACGCTCGGCCCATTCTGCTCTCTTATTGGACACAGAGGAGCGCATCCGGCGGATGTTGTTCTGGCGCCCAGGACTGCGGCCGGCGAGATGGCGTTCAGTGACGGCAAGCCGGGTTGCGTGTTCGACCACCACGTCCAGACGGCCGTGTGCGATTCGCGGGCCAAATACCGGGAGAGCCGACGCCCTCGTGCGGTCAAGGTAGAGTCACTTCGGTTTCCTAGCTTTCCTGGGCATGGCCAGCCTCCAGAAAGCGTAACAGGGATGCTGCCTGAGCCTCCTCTCTGAGTCGAGGCGGCACGAGGACCCAAATGTTATCACTATTGTCGGTCAGCTACTTACTAGACCGTTACTCCACGAAAACACGATTTTTAGTTTTGTATTCTACGTGTTTACAATAGCGTCCTTCTCACAGGACGAGCACGGAGTGAGTTCAGTGACTTTTCCATTATCTTTTCTGGAGTCAGCTTCTGGAAAAAAGTCTATTAAATAGTATAGTCAGATACCCTAATGTGGTGTGTGTTATGCTTAGTCCAGAAGAGTGACAGTTTTGTGTATATGTTTTACAGACTGGATTGGGCAGAAAAAGTTCCATTTAAAAAAAAAAAAGTCGGGGACAGATTTGCCAGAGGTTTGTCTGTGGGGTGCATTTAACGAGACTTTTTTTTTTTTAAGGTATATACAATCAACTTGGAATCTCAGTACTTATTAATACAAGGCGTGCCTGCAGTGGGGGCCATGAAGGAATTAGTTGAACGATTTGCTCTGTATGGTGCGATTGAACAGTATAACGCTCTAGATGAATACCCAGCGGAAGATTTTACAGAAGTTTATCTCATTAAATTTGTGAAATTACAAAGTGCAAGGTATGTACAAGTTAAGCAGTGCCCATGCCTTGTATTACTGTTGCTGTCTTTTTGGCCCCAGGGTTTTCCGAAACATACCCAAATCACACAAACACTTATCACCCACCATCTTCCTGTTTGTTTGTTTGTTTTAGGGGGAGTTCAAGACAGAGTCTCTCTGTGTGGCCCTGGCTGTCCAGAAACTAATTCTGTAGACCAGGCTGGCCTCTGCCTCACCCGTGCTGGGATTAAAGGTGTGCACCACCACCTGCCAGCTCCCTGTTTGTGTTTTACCTTTCCAGGCTTCACATGCGCTAGTCAAACAGCCCAACAGTCACTTACAGCCCTGGCTCTTCCTCCAAATTTTTAAAAGGCTGACTTTAAAAAGATACTATCTCTTTCCTCTTATAATTGTGCTTTTCTTTCCATCCTCTCATATCTGTGCATAACTGTTTTTGAACCTGTAGTATGGTAGATTCAGAATTATCTGCAGTGAATTTCCAGTCCTATGTCTTCATTACTTTGGACGTTTTTGTTGTTGTTGGTTTTTTTTTTTTGTTTGTTTGGTTTTGTTTTTAATACTGCTAAGCAAATTTTTCCTCTTCTTAAAATCAACATGGCAAAGAGGTCTGCTTTTTGAGGGTCCCTGAGGGTGAAGGAAATGAAATAACTTATGTAAAGGCATTAGACTGGTACCTCCTATTAAGAGTAAATATTAGCAATGGCAATTCTTATTGTTATGGTTCTATATCAATCAACTTCTTTTTAATACATTAATGACATAAACCTTGTGTTCCAATAAGATTGAAGTCAACAATGCTTTATTTCAGTGTTCACCCTTTTGTGGGGGAAGAGTGTGTGTGTGTAGGCTAGAAGCCAATGCCAAGTGCCTTCTTCATTTGTTCCCCACCTTTATTTATTTATTTGTTGAGACAAGTTTTTTCTATGTAGCCCTGGCTAGCCTAGAACTGGCTATGTAGACCGGGCTGACCTTGAACTCCAAGCTTCCTCCTGACTCCAGCTATCCTTCTACCAGATTTAAAGTCATAGGCTCTATCTTATTTTTTTGAGACAGGGTCTCTTACTGAATCTGAAGCTCATCAACTAGATTTGTTGGTATCTCCTCTCTCTCCCTCACCAGCACCAGGATTGTAGGTTTGCAGCAGTGCCCAGCTTTACGTGGCTGTCAGGGATCTGAACCTAGACACCCAAGCTTAAGCAAGTGTTGTCCCCACGGTGCACTCTCTCTAGTTCACCTTAGCCATTTTTTTCTTTTGAATCACTAACCTGATTTAAAACATATCTTTCCCTGACTTTTGCCGTTCATATATTTTTGTAGTAGAAAAAGACTTCACATTTCCTGGAGCTGGAGTCATTAGTAGTTGTGAGTCACCCAGTATGGGTCTTGGGATTTTAATCTGCTCTTCTACTAGACCAGCGAGTGCTCTTGGCATCAAAGCAACTCTTTCTTTGCGTGCTACTCATAGTCCACCACAAAAGCACTTGACTTCAAAGACTGTGTATCTTTTGCACCAGTTGGCCAGCTCCTCGTGGTTAGGAAACCATATGGAGTAGTGCGTTTTTTATCTCCACAGAACTGAGTTGACTCTGGAGTTAGCTATCCCAATTGAACCCTGGTTTTGTAAATGAATGTATAAACATGATCCAGTTACCAATTTCCTGGTGCCTTGGTTTCATCATAAGATGGTTATAACAATTTAAGTGAAGCATTTATAGCACAAGTATTAATAATTATCTGTAGATTCAGAAGCACTGAGTTACTTGGTTCAGCATAGATGTTTAGTATTTCTTGAATGAATAAAATCCTTTTTTAATTAGTTATTTCTCTTTTGTTTTTATGTGTATGTGGTGTGGTAGTGTGAGCTTATACACCCATATCCATGCAGGACCCTGTGGAGCAGAAGAGGGCATCAGATCCCTGCAACTCGAGTTATTGTGAGTTGCCACGTTGGGAATTGAACCTGAGTCCTCTGGACTAGCAGCCAGTGTTCTTAACTAACCCCTTAGCTATCTCTCCCACCCCAGAAGGAACACAGTTCTTAATTTTGCATTGAGTTGTTAATATGGTGTAGGAGGTCCTTCTATATTTGTGTTGATTTCATTGGTTGAATAAAGAAGCTGCCTTGGCCTTTTGATAGGGCAGTCCTTAGGTGGGCAGAGTAGACAGATCTGAATGCTGGGAGAAAGAAGGCAGAGTGAGAGAGCCGCCCGCCGTGAAGCTGCCAGGTCAGACATGCTGAATCTTTCCCGGTAAGCCACAACCTCGTGGTGAACACAGATTATTAGAAATGGGTTGAATCAAGATGTGAGAGTTAGCCAAGAAGAGGCTAGATATATATAATGGGCTAGGCAGTGATTTAATTAATACAATTTCTGTGTGTAGCTATTGTAGACCAGGCTAACCTTGAACTCAGAGAGATCCACCTGCCTCTGCCTCCAGAGTGCTGGGATTAAAGGCATGCACCACCACAGCCCGGCTGATAAATCTTTTTATTAGGAGTACTTTCCAGGTCAGTGTGGTCATCTAGAAACAAAGCATTTTCCCCCCCCCCCCCAACCCTCGCCACACACAGACACTTAAATCTATGGAATTCCTGTTAAACTTTTATCTTAGGTAAATTTAGATTAAAAAGCCATGACTGGGTGTATGACTCAGCAATTAAGAGCATGTACTGCTGCTCTATAGGACCTGAGTTCTATTCTTAGCAACCAGGTCATGTCTGTAAACTCTAGCTCCAAGCCAGAGCCTCTGCACACACTTACACATTAAAAATAGTAAAATAAATATAAATAATAACAATAATAATAATAACTTTCTAGGTATGGTAGTGCATACCTTTAATCCCAGTACTTGGTAGACAGAGGCAGGCAGATCTCTGTGAGTTCAAGGTCAGCCTGATTTACACAGTAAATTCAGGACAGCCAAACCTACATAGTGAAACCCAGTCTCAAAAAAAAAAAAAAATGCATCTAGGGACTGGAGAAGACACAGAAACTAAGAGCACTTATTGCTGTTATAGAGGACGCAGGTTTGGAGTTCGGTTGCCAGCACCCATGTCAGGTGGTTCACAACTGTCTGTAACTCCAGGTCCAGGGGTTTTATCACCCCTGGCCTTCTTGGGCAACTGTACTCGGGTGCACATACCCACATGCAGAGACATACACCTACGAATAGGGCATAAATAAAAATAGTAAAAGCAATGTTTTTTTAAGCTACGTAAGTTATGTATTTTCCTTTTGAATACTCTTTAAATTATGTATTTCTTTTTAGGATAGCTAAGAAAAAGATGGATGAACAGAGTTTCTTTGGTGGGTTACTTCATGTGTGCTATGCTCCAGAATTTGAGACAGTTGAAGAAACTAGACAAAAGTTAGAAGAAAGAAAGACTTATATTGCAAGAGCTACTAAAAGCAAAGGTACAGAAACTCTGTTTTTTTTTTTTTTTTTTTTTTTAACAGCTTCTGTATATCAGGCATTGCTAGGGATGTGTGTCATTGTGGAGTTTCTGCTCAGTCATGGTCTTTGGTGTCTTTAACCACAGGGTTCTGTACAGTCTTGACTAGAAAGGGAGAGAAGTTGGTTCATGAACTATTTATTTCTTACAGGATGTGAGAGGTGTTTGAATTTTAGTAAGTGCTATCCAGAAGGGGAGTGAAAAGGATGGCAGGGCAAGCCAGGCTATATGTTTAAACACCTAGAGAATGAAATTGTCATTCATTGTGTTTAAGGAGCTATAAGTCCTAGAGGGTAACCAATGTGCCGAGGTTTCAGTGAGAGGGACCAAGACAGTGCTGTGTCCCGTGCCAATGCACCCAGTGTCTGACATGAAGGCAGTGTAAGCAGTTTTGATTTGTCGGCTGCTCAGAAGTGCTCTTCATCATGGGAAAGTTCAGATGGCTTCGTGCCCAGCTCAGTTGTTCCTATCACAAGTAGGAACTAAACATGGTTTATCTATATAGTAGAATATTCTGAAACTGTACAAGCTTTCTATGCAATGGCATGGGAAACTCTAAGATTACAGGTAGTGGAAAATGTAAAAGAACAGATTTTATTATCTTTTAAGTAGGGAGACAAGGAGACTCGAGAGGAACAGTGAGACAGTCTAGATAGATGAATGAGAAAATGTAGTAGATGAGTAGGGAAAGCAAGGACAAGGGAAGCTTGGCATGCTACCCCCTTTGTATCCTTTCAAAGGCCTTTAAATCTTATCATGTATTCCCTGTTCTGGAAGTGTAATATTGGGAGCAGAGCTTGTTAACATCAAGTTGTTTATAGAATTACAAGATTCTGAATGACTAAAATAATTAATGAACCATTTGTTTACTGTTCTGTCAACTTTTAAAACTATAACTTTGAAGATTATTACTTGACAAAGAAGAAACTGGTTCCAGAGCAAAAAGGAACAAAAAATCCTAGACAAGATTTTCATTCACATATACCCGGATTTTCTACAGCTGCTTTGAACACTTCTCCTGAGAATTCAAGTCCTTGTCTTCCTTATTCTTGTGAATTGCCTTTGTGCTATTTTACCTCCCAAACCACTTGTTTACCTGGGGACCACGTGGACGGAGCATCAAACTCCTGTAGTGGCAGCAGGAACCATGGTGAACTGTCAGAGCACTGTAACTACAGTGCCTTTTCCCCAGAACTACAGACGAGTACTTACAAAAGTGCACTACCTTGCTCTAGTGTGCAAGAGGCTGTTACTACCTCAGAGTCAGTCGGCAGATTTATGCCTAGGACAACACAGCTGCAGGAAAGGAAAAGAAGGAGAGACTGTGATCGTGAACTCGGAACTTTTTCTGAAACAAATACAAGCAGTAACGAGGTTGTGATTGGACCTAAGTTACCAGGTCTTCCCACAGTGGATCTGCAGGATGACTCCTTGAACACCACGGCAAACTTAATTCGGAGTAAACTTAAAGAGGTGAGTTTTTTTTCTTATACATTTATTTTTTTAAAGGAGCTCTGGTAAAGTTTTATTAAAGGAAAACTTTCTACTTTTCACCAATCTGTTCTGGCATGCTTCTAATAATGTCAGAATCACCTGGGTCAATGATGGCCAGTGTGCATACTCTGTAGTATTTTCCACACGCTGTGCCCAACTCAATGTTATTGCCACTGTAGTGATGGACACCAGTTTTAGCCAACATGGCATAGTATTCTATTTCAGATTTCCTCAAGGCGGGGCAGTTGTTGGCGAGGATCACCAATTTCGCTTTGCCCTGTCTGATCATCTTCAGAGTCTGTTTGTATCCCAGCACGTACTTCCCACTTTTCATAACAAGCTGGAGCCGAGAGTTGATCGACTCCAGAGACTTTTTCGTCTTCTTTGCTGCCACCATCTTCCTGCCTTAGGTGCGGGACGGCCCCCAACCAAGACCAGCCGCCAAGATAGCCAGGGAGTGAGAAAGCTTCTTATACATTTTTTATATTTTTATATTTCCTTATATTTTCTCTTATATTGAGATAACTTAGTTGAGGACAAACAACTTTATAGGAAATTATTTGGAGGAACTAAAATTATTTGTCTTACTTTTTGATTTTGATGTATTTTCCCACCTTTATTTTCCAAAATGACATGATTAATATTTATTTTATTTGGCAGTAATTCTTGACTTAACAACAAACAGATATATTTTATGTCAGTGTTCCAGTCAATCAGACTGTGATAGTAGATTCCAGATGTTGTCTCTCCTTCCCTTTTAAAGTTCCCTAGGTAGTATAGCAGAAGCTAAAATTAACAGTTATAATCAGTTAGTTCTCTTAAATTCAAAGTTACTGCAGATAACATCAAAGTCAAAATGTTTTTATGGTAGATATCCATAAGAGAAGGAATTATTTTGATTAATTAATTAGTTAATTAATTTTTGGAGCCCCATCCCTACTGCATCCACAGCCCACAAGCTGAGATTTCTAAAAACCGAGTCGTCAGTTGCCCTACACTTGACACTTTATGTATGAACCTCAAGGAGCTGAACTCGTTGGAAATCAGATTGTCTTTTCCCGTTATTTACATAGAAAGTGAACATATGAAGTAGCTTATGAAAGCTCTCCTTTTGTGGAGTGGAGCTAGGCCTTGTAGAAACCGTACATGGAGGGACGCGGCATGTTCTCACGGCTAACTCCTGGATACATAGTCCTGTTCGCACAGTTGCTCTCCCGTTTGGCAATGTGACTAAGAGGCTAAGGTGACCTCATTTCTTTTACAGAGTTTTGTTTTCACCTAATGGTTATTATTTGGTAAAGGATGAGGACTTGCTTCAGATAGTAAGTGTATGAACATGGATTTTATGTTTAACTACCAAATTGTGTCAGTGTGTGTCAGCACAGTATATCCCCGGGCGCACTGAACTGCGGCATAGACACAGGTGACAGCTGTCTCAGTCAGGGCTGACCGCTTTTTAAAGTGCAAAGTCTACATCTCATACATGGAAATAAAAGAACAACAAAAAGAAAGACTTTACCACAGTTTCTAGTATTCTTCCATTTCAAATCAAGATGTTCTTAATAGTGCTTTTGACCTACTATTAATAGTAACTTTGGGTAATGGAATAATAACAATGTATTTAGTGTTCATCCCTCCCCCGGCCCTCCTGGGAGTTGAAGATTGTACCATTTTTATGATAGTTTTTCCAATTTTTTTCATCTCTCACACTGAACAGTCCTGTCTTTAAATTTATCTGTTATTACAAATGCTTCAAAATTTGATGGTGCAGACTCAGCAGGCAGAAGTAGATAGACCTCTAGTCTACATAGTGCCTGCCAGACCAGGCCAGCCCAGCCCAAGAAGTTACACAGTGAGACAACAGCAAAAACAAAAACAACCCAGTAAAACCAGAGTATCTGTCTGTATCCTGTTTGTTTTCTTCATTGTAGCTGTTCTGTCTGAAGAAATCCCAATGTAGTTTTCATTTGCATTTGTTTAGAGATACGGGATATGTTCATTTGCATTTCCCTGATGGCTAATGATGTTGAACACTTTCAAATATTTTTTGGCCATATGTATTTCTTTTGAAATCTGTTCAACTCATTAGCCTATTTATTGACTGGATGACTTGGGTTTTTTTATTTTATAACTTTTACAGTTCTTAGAGATTCTCATTATTAACTCCTTACTTGTTTAGTTAGCCGAGATCCCCATTCCGCAGTCTATCTCTGTGCCCTTCAGTTCCATGCAATCTGTCTGTTTGGAGTTCATCTGTCTGCCTCGGAGTTTGTTACTTAAGGTCCTTAATCCATCTTCCGGTGTGTGTGTGTGTGTGTGTGTGTGTGTGTGTGTGTGTGTGTGTGCGTGCGCAGTAAGGGGTACAGATCCAATGTTAATTTTCTGTGGAAATCCAGTTTTTTAGCCCCCTTTGTTGAAGATGCTGTTTCCCCCCCTGTGTTTTTGATACCTTTGTCAAAAAGTCTGTGGTTGTGGTTGTATAGGTTCATTTCTGGGTCCTCTCTTCCGTTCCACTGTTCTTTATTCTTGTCTTTATCCAGCCCTGCGCTGCTTCTGTCACCATGCCTCAGTAATCTGAGATAAGATGTCGTTCCTTGTCTAGCCTTGCTCTCACTACTTAAGATTCTTTAGCTTTTCAGGAGTCTTTCGTACCTCCATGTGAATTTTAGGACAATTTTTTTTCCTGTTTTTGGAAGGGTGTCTTTGATATTTTGATAAGGATTGTGTTTATTCTACAGGTCACTTTGGGGAATAATAGCAACTCTCACAACGTTAGTTCTGCCAGGGCCAGTGAGAGGGTTCAGTGGGCCAAGGTACTTTCCACAAGCCTGAGTCAATCCCCAGAACTCACGTGGTAGGAAGAGAACCAGTTCCTACAAGTTTTCCTCTGACTTTCATACACATATGCATTCCCTCATACACAAATGGATAAATGTGGTTTTAAAAATTAATTCTGCTGAGCACTGGTGGCAAATGCCTTTAGTCCCAGCACTCTGAACACGGGCAGGTGGATCTCTGTGAGTTCAAGGCTAGCCTAGTCTACAAAGCAAGTTCTAGGACAGCCAAGGCTACACAGAGAAACCCTGTCTCAAAAAACAAACAAACAAAAGCAAGAAAAAAAAATTTTGCCAGGGGCTAGTGAGCTGGCTCAGTGGGTCGAGGACTTGCTGCCAAGTCTGACCACCTGTGTTCTAGCATCCACTCCCACAAGCTGCACACTGGGGTGTGGGTGGGATGGAGCAGAATAATAATTATAGATTTTAAAATTAATTCTGCCAGTCCATGAACATGAGAGGTCTTGCAATTTCCTGGTGTCTTTTTTCAGTGTCTTTTCTCACTATATTACGGTTTTGACTAGAGATCTTTGACCTGACTAAATGTCCTGGGTTTGTTTTAAGTGTGTGGTGTATGTGTATGTACATGTTCATGTATGTGTGCACATGGCTTCCTCTGTCACTTTCTACCTCTGTTTTTGAGAGAGAATCTCTCACTTAACCTGGAGCTCACTGGTTTGGCTAGGCTGGCTGCTGCACAGCCTACTGTCTGTCTCCCCAGAGCGATGCTGTAGGTGTACACTACTGCATCCAGCCTTTTGACCTGGGGCTGAAGATCTGCATGGCAAGGACCTTTCACCTGAGCTGTCTTCCCAGCCATTAGGTTTTGTTGTTGTTATTGTTAATGGGATTTTTTTTTCTCTTAAAGCAAGTTCATTGCTTTATAGAAAAGCTACTTTTATTGATTTTTGTGTATTTTGATGAAACTGCTTATCATAGTTAAGAGTTTTCTAGATGAGACTTTAGAATTTTTTTTTTTATGATTAATAGAATGGTTATTTATTTAAAGGGGAAAAACTTACAGATCACTGTCCCAGACAACAGCCCTCTGTGCAATCAGGAAGGGAGTCTAGTCGCTGGAAGCAGAGCAGGAAGCAAGAGAGCGACTTTAGAATATTTTAAGTATAAAGTTGTAGAGTCTTCTAAGTATAAGGTTGTGTAGTCTACAAATAGAAATAATCTGACATTTTCTTTTCTGTTTATTTTTGTCTTTTTGCTCTGACTTAGACTCACAATATTAAATTGAATAAGATGGAAAGAAATGGACACCCTTGTCTTCATTTCTGATATTAAAGAAATTCTGTGTCTTCCTCTAATATGTACTGAGATAAACACGTAATTTCTGTTCTTGATTCTATGTGCTGTGTTTCCTAGGTGGGGGCCTTCCTGGAAATCCTAGGAGTGAAACTAGCTTTGTTGTGGTTACGTGATCTTCATGTGTTCTTCAATTTGCAATAATCTATTTATTTATTTATTCATTCATTTATTTATTTATTATGTATACAATGTTCTGTCTGCATGTATGCCCGCAGGCCAGAAGAAGGCACCGGATCTCTTTACAGATGGTTGTGAGCCAACCTTGTGGTTGGCTGGGAATTGAACTCAGGACCTCTGGAAGAGCAGGCAGTGCTATAAACCACTCAGCCATCTCTCCTGCCCCTGTCAATTTGCAATAATTTTATTGAAAACTTTTTACTTTTATGTTGATCAGAGGAATTGGGCTATAGTTTTCTTGTTTGTTGGTTCCTGTATGACTTGTTATCAGGCTGATGCTGGCTTCTTAGAATGCGTTAGATAATAATGTTCTGCTATTTTAACTGGTTAGAAAAGCATTGGTGTTAGTTCCTCTTTAAGGGTTAGTAGAATTCAGAAGTGAATTCATTGGTCTTGGACATTACTTTTCTAGGGACTTTTATTGATACTTTAATCTTCTTGAGTTAATTTTAAAAGATCATAATAGTAATCCCACCAAATGAGAGTAAAGATCATTACCCAAATTCTTTTAGTTGAATTAAGCAAGCTTTGTTTTCTGTCAGACAGGGCTGTCTTCCTAAAGCAGGGTTGAGAAAATAGCGTTGAATATAATTGAGTGAGATTCATACCGAAAATAGCATTGAACATAATAGAGAGTAGAATTCATATAGTTCAAGATCTGCAAGGCGAGGGGGTTGTCAAGGTTCGAGGGTTTCCACAGGAATTTTGGTTATGTAGGAATTTGGCAGAACATCTCAAAATTGTTGAGCAAAACATCTCACAAGATAGAGGTCAAGGAATAAGGTCTGGAACATGTCAAATTCCAGAATATGGGTGAAGACATGGTCAAATACAAGTTTTATAGAAAACAGGAATGAACTTTTTTGACTGTGTTACAAGGTAGTTTCTCATCTTAAGAAGGCTCGGGCTGGTCCATCAATAGATTGCCTAGGAATTTATCCATTTCTTTGGACTTTCCAGGTTTTTGAAATATGTTTTCAAAGAATTCCCAAATGATTTTCTGAATTTCACTGGAATCTGTTAAAACCTTCCTGGTTTTTTGTTTTTGGTTGATTGATTAGTTTGTTTTGGTGTGTTTACACTTCTCCCCACCTTTCTCCCGTCCCTCCCGCTCTTAGTTTGTTGCTCTTACTTTTGTAAGGAAATAAGTCCTTATTTGGTTGTTCCTGTGTATTGTTCTTTTAGTCTACATTTACTTATTTCTGTCCAGTTTTTACTATCTGTTGCTGTCTACTGCTGAGTGGTTTTTCTTCTTCTTAAACCAGGTGATTTCATCTGTGCCAAAGACTCCAGCGGAAGATATGTATACAAGTCACCCACGAAAACAAAGAAGAAGAATATAGCTTGCCAGCAAGTTAGTCTTCTCTTTCTTTTTCTTTTTGAGTCAGGGTCTCACTGGGTAGCTGTTGCTGGCTGGAACTCTCTGTGTAGACCAGGTTGGCTTTGGGCCTCTGCCACTGGGTGTTGGGATTAAAGGTGTGTACTACCACACCAAGCTAAAATGATATTTTCTGGAGAGATCCTTTTGTTTTCTGTTTGTTTTGTTTTGCCTTTTATGTTTAGCATTTTAATTATTTGCAATATCTTACTACTGGTGTTTTAAAGTAAACTAATTTTTCTGTATTTCTTTTTAAGCTGTGTGCAAATATGTATGTCCTTTTTGGATTTACACTCAATGTAGCAGAAACTGTTCTTTTCACACTGTATTAGTTCTTACGTTACAATATTTATATTGTTTGAAATAAATATAACAATCTGTAATGCAACCAGATCTGACTTAAATGCAGGTATTGAGCAATTCGTGTTCAAAAACTAGTAGTCAGATTGTTTCTGAATATCAGAGCTTCAAAATTAAGGCAGTTCTGTAAAGGAAAAATGCCGGTATATGTTAGAGCAGAGATCTAGAAATACACATGCTATTGTAGCTTCTAAGAATAACTTACATGAATTATGGTAATCTAAAAACGAATTAACTTTGGAAACTCTGGGTTTCTACCCTGTCAGCATATCTGTACTCTGTCTTCTGTCAGTGGACTATGTAGTTTTGTGCAGGCTATTTCTATCTTCTTTACTGGGAACAGTAAACTAAGAAGGCACCGTGTGCTGTATGCATGCTGCTTCTTGTCCCTAAGGACCTTCTTCAGTGAGTTGTGGCTGACCGTGTCATAAGATAAGGCTTATTTCAGTTGCTGTGGGGTGTTGTCAGCTCTGCCAGTATGGCTTTTCAGGGCTGGATGATGCTACAGGAAATGGCCAACGAGGGATTAGGTCCTCCATTCACAAGAGGTGGTTATAGAGATTGCTGTGCTGGAATCTCAGGTAAAAAGTCTATTAGCAGCCTAAACAGAGCTGGAAAGAACAGATGCTGTCTGCATCAGGCTGCTCAGACAGGAAGCGTTGTCTCTACCTCAGGACCCTGGTAAATGAATGCAGTGTGCAACCGTGAGGGGAGGGGGATGAGGAGTTCTTCAGTGGTGCTGAATTGCATCTTCACAGGAGGAAACGGGTTTGGAGAGTGGGTTGTACTGCTAAAAATGGTTAAGAAGATAATTTTCCATGTAGCTTAGTGTGTGGCAGTCCAGAAACTTCTCTTCTGGCCTTCATGGGAGGAGCTGTTATGTCGGTTCTCTCTGTTCCTAAGTGCATTCCTGGTCTGTTTTGTGAGTGTGAGAACAATGTTTGGTTATCCACTTCATACACAGTAGTGGCCATGACGGGAAAGGGATAGGCTTGTGCCTTGTCAAACAGGGAAAGAGGAAGAGGAAGAGGCAGGAGTCATCTTCAAGATGAGTTCACAGCAGTTGAGGTACCACAAGACCACACTGCAACAGAACTGTCTGGCTGCTCAATCCTAAATGGTCTCCCTAGTCCTGTCCATTTCTGCTAAGCTGTGTTCTGTCATCAGTCTCTCCCTCCCTCCCCTCCATGTTTCCGGGGTGTGTGTGTGGGGGGGGGGGTTGTATGCCTCCTGCCTCTTTCTCTTTCCATGGCACATGCTTATTCCTTTCTTTGTGTGGCCAAAGAGGTAGCAAGTTAAATCCAAGTCTGTTAACTATAATTACTGAAATGGTAATATCTTTAGCCCCAAACTGGAATGAGGCTGATGACTTTGTAATTGTCTACAATTTGGCAATGGGTTGAAGCTACAAAGGGGAGAGACTATCATGTATTATTTTCTAGTTCTTTAGATTTTTCCTTAACTAGGCCAGCAAGATGGCAGCGTTTGTAAAGGCACTTGCTTAGAAACCTGACTACCTGAGTTCAATTCTCTGGGACCCACATGGCTGCAGGAGAGAAGAGGTTCCTACAGTTGTCACTGTGGCATGTCCTAGATTGGGTTACTATTGTTGCAGTGAAGCACCATGATCAAAAGCAAGTTGGGGAGAAAAGGGTTTATTTGGCTTATACTCCTCTGTAGTCCATCACTGAAGGAAATGAGAACAGGAACTCAAAACAAAGTAGTAGCTCCTGGAGGCAGGAGCTGATGCAGAGGCCGTGGAGAGAAGTGCTGCTTACCAGCTTGTTCCTTTGGCTTGCCCAGCCTACTTTCTTATAAAACGCAAGACCATCATCAGCCCAGGGATGACAACCCCTCACAATGGGCTGAACCATCCCCCATCGATCTCTAATTAAGAAAATGTCCTACAGCCCGATCTTACAGAGGTGTCTTCTCAGGTCACTCTTTGAGATGACTCTAGGTTGTGTCAAGTTGGCATAAAACTGGCCAGCACATGGCATGCATACCTTACACACACACACACACACACACACACACACACACACACACACACACACACGTTATATAATTTTAATGAATTTTTTTCTCTCACCTACTTTAAGTATAGTATTTGTAACTACCTTTGCTTCTGGTAGACATGGTCCAAAGGCCTCCAACAAAAGGCTGTCTTTTTTTACCGCTTTTTCAAAGTCTGCAAAAGAGATCTTGCCATCATTGTCATGATCCTAGAGAGAAAGGTGATGTCATGATAAATAATCCAAGTCATTTTAAATTTTGCCATAGAAAACTGATTATCTAGACTGTCCTGTAAAACTATTAAGTTCCTACTGCTGAAGACATTGTTTACACAAATCTATGGGTATTTTTAATAGAAGTCATTGATTTATTCTTCTGACCCAAGTCTTCCTAGCAGCACTGTCAGGAACACACTGGAATTGAGGAATAGCAAAACATTGGAAGAACCATATTATACTACTGCCCCTTTTGCAATTATACAAGTAAAATGTGGCTCAGATATTTCATCACAATTTTATTTCTCAAAAGGCTTTATTTGGGAGCTCACTAGGTAGAAAGGTCAGCCGTTAAGGGCAAGGCACATGGAGTTATCACAGTGAACTGTCCAGACTGGGCTAGACTCATGGAATGGAGGCTCCAGGCTTCTGCTGAGATCTGGCTAAGTTGGAAGGTGTGGGGGGCCTGTAAAGTTCTGTCCACTTGAATCACAGTAGAAAGCAGGGGTGTGCGTCAGCGAAGTGTTAGGGACAAGGCTTATGAGAGATTACGTATGTTGTGTAGAATCCAGGGCAGGGGAACTCTTTGAATTTCGAGTGCCTGACTGCTGCTTCAGATTGGATTGGATAAGATGTCTGTGAGTTTTCATTTTTGTGCATGACTTCAGAATCTGATCTAGAGAGCAGTGTGAGTGGCCATGAGAGAAAGGGATTTAGGGACTTCCTGCAGGTGATTCTCTAGCATCTGCACTCAGTCTGAGCAGCCGCTAGTATTTTACAAGAGCATGCCTTATCTTTCTCCCCGTCTGTGTCTGTCTCTCCCTGTCCACCTCTCTTTCTCTCCCCCCACCCCGTGTGTGTGCATGTGCGTGTGTGTGTGTGTGTGTGTGTGTGTGTGTGTGTGTGTGAGACATAGTCTCAAAGTGTGACCCCAGCTGGTCTGGAACTTGCAATCTTTCAGACATATAAGTGCTGGGATTGCAGGCACGCACCCTTTCCTCTCTGAGTAACATCACTGAGTTTGTTGTTTTGGGTCCTTCTCAGGACAGAGTGAGCAGCACCATTCCTGTAATAAGGAGCCACCGCTGCAAGGTTTTATTGCTTTAATTCTACACAATTTCTCTACTTTAGTTTTTCTCATCTGAAAAGTAGAGATAGCAGTTCTAAGGATAAAATGAATTAATACATAGAGGACCCTGAGAGGCCTGCTATGTAATAAGCACTCTGTAAGGATCAAATATTTTTTATTGTGGTTATTTTGCTAAAATGAGGGTTTGGATAAATTGAAAGAATGAAATCATGAAGACACAAAGCACAAAATTTTACATCTGTTGAATCTGGCTTCCTCCCAAATTAATAAGGTTTTACTGGTAGTAATATTTTAAAATAATTAAACTAACATTTATTTTGCATAATGATTATGTAGTCACCAAACCATTCCGTATGTACCGAGCACCCACTTTCCGTGAGGCAGATCAAGTGAGAACTGTCCATAGGGAAATGACTCACTGGAGGAACAGCCATCGCTCACGCCATGCCTCTGCACAGCTACTGGCTTGAATGCAGTGCTTCGCCCGTGCTTACCATTTTCTTCAGGCTTATTTCCACCAACTCCCTTATTCCTTCCTCATTTTCTTCTTCGGGGGACTGCTGGGAGAGACTGTTCTTCAACATGTCAAAAATCTTTTCCCGGGAAATATAACCATCTCCAGTTAAATAATAAACTTCAAAACAGACTTTATAAAACATAGAAATCAAAAATTGAACCAATAAGATATCATTAGTTATTTCAGTATAAGATAATAAATGATACATATACAATTACTGATCTGATCCACTATATTACAGAGGTTTTATAATAAAGTGCTTCTTATCAAATTTCTTTGCAAAGGATTAAATACCCCTTTAGAGGTTCCTGGATTTGGGATTTGAAAGTATATCAAGCTGCAATAAATGAGGTGGATTTTTTAACCAGCTTTTATTTGTATGTTATATATGTGTATTTAAGCGTGTATGGCGTGTTTGTATTCTCTGCATACAGACTATAAAATTAAGCACACACTTTACTGCATCCTCACAAAAGGATCTCCCCTCCCCCAGACAGTGGATGTCTTCATCTCCTGGGGTCTGCCCATCTACCTCATCTTCAAGCCTCTCTCTGGGGAGGACTTCCATGCTTTCTATACCATGTCCTGGGAATGCAGCAGTGAAGTAGCTTTCTTAGAGTTCAGTGGTGTAGCTGAATGTTTTGGCAAAAACCAGGAAGAAAATCGAGTGTCAGATGAGATGAGTATCTATTAAAACTTCTCCAGTCCACAGTCTAACATACAAGTTTAAGAAGAAACCCAGTGTAGAAAACAGTGTTCCCCAAGTGAGCCTCTCCTACAGTGTGTCAGAAGCATTTGAGGAAGTGGAGTAGAGAAGACAGACCATCTCTAGTGTTGTTTAATCGTGTGCCACAACTACAATACAGCGTCTCACTTCTCGGTGAGACTTGTGTAAGAACCTGGTTGGAGGGGCTGAGCTGGAGTGAGGGATGGGTTAGACTGCTTGCTTTAAAATGTGCGAGGCCCTGGATTCAGTCCCCGGCACTACATTGCACTCCCAGACGCGACAGAGTGGGAGCTGCCTCATGAAATAGTAAACGTGAGAACTACAGAGTGCACAGAACCGTTGATTGGCAGAGAAGTTTGGTTATTCAAAATACTGCTCTAAAATGTTAATGTATTTTTAGCTTAGAAATACGTTTATTAGAAAATTTATGTGAGTATGTGCTGTGTAGAAGGAGCTGCGGGCAGGCCTGCTTTTGTCCCGCCTGGCTCCTGCATGGTTAGCTTTACTCCCGAAATAACAACACACAAACTGTATTCATTTAAACACTGCCTGGCTCATTAAGAGGCTGGAACTCATGGGCCAAGCAGTGTTTAAATGAATACAATTTCTGTGTTGTTATTTCGGGGCATAAGCTAGCCAGGCGGCTGGGAGCCCGGGCGGCAGGAACACAGCCCACTGCTCCTATCTCTACAGTGCTGGGTGTGTGCAGGTGCCTGCCAGAGGCCAGAAGAGGGTATTGAATCCTCTGGAGCCAGCCAGCATGGGTGCTAGGAGTCAACCTTGGGTCCTCTGGGAAAGCAGCCCACACTCTTCCCTCTATGGTCCAGGCATCTTCTCTTTCTGTGTCCCAAATTCAATTCAAGTGAAAGAGCAAAAAGATACACAAATTTGCTCCATTACAAAGAACTCTGTAGTCTTTTCTTAAGCAAATGGACATGGTAAGCAGTTTGTTTCTCTGAAAACTGGTACCTAAATTAGTTTTTATTCTGTTTCCAGAATTCATCCCAGGGAATCCCGATAGCAGGAATAAAACATAGGACATGGACATTACCCTGAGGTGGTTGCAGACCAGAGCTATTGCTGTGCAGAGCTGCGGATCCGCACACGTCCCAGTGCCCAGCATTCCTTTGATTTAGAATTTTCTTCGGCCTGCTCTCACTTCCCTCTCCTCAGTCATGAAGACCAGAGGGATATTAACGTCTGGGCTGTTAGGGCGTGTTGAGCTTCATCCTCATTCTCTTATGGTGGAGCACACACTTTCTTCAGTGAAAAGGCAACAAATGACACCCAAATGACACATGCGTACATTCAAGGCCTGTTTTCTGCTGAGCTCACACAGGCTCAGAAACCTTAGTCTTGTCAGTGGACCCTAGTGGCTGTTCTTAACTGGGCTGTAACAGTTGAGCATGACAGACTCAGTAAAGGCAATGGGTCACAACTGGGTCTCCCAATTTATCTTTTGTGGGTTTTCTTCTATTTTTTTTTTTACATTTATGCATGCATGCAAGCATGCATTTATGCTCATAGAGGTCAGCAAACAACTTTCAGGAATTGGTTCTTTCCTACTGTGTGTGCGTTCAGGTTGACTGGTGGCAAGCGCCCTCACCTGACGAACCATCTTGCTGGCCCTCATGAGACTTTTCCACAAGGGTGCTGTAGAGAACACTGATTTCATCTGTGTGGTTCTATAAGCATTCACCTGTGAACAATCATTCCTGGAAGAAGCTCCATCTGCTAAGGCTGACTAATGAGAACTCCAGTAATTTTGGAATATTTGGAGTCTAGAGCCTAGTTACCTTGGACTATCTTTAGCTACTTTAAATGGCCTTTATTTTCTCCTCTGAATGTGACCTGCCATCCTGGTGACTATTCGGTTAATCCTTTGGAATGTTTCCACCAGCCCAGAAGCTAAGAATGTCACAGTGAGGCCTGTAACAAGTCCCCTGCTATGCTGTGACCACCTACCCAGTGCTGCCACCCATTTTAAAGTGTTTGATCTATCTATGACTTTGTGGTCACAAATATGCAAATTGGCTAAACCTGAATATGTTCCCAGCTGTGGTCACTCTAGTTAACCAGCTCCAGAAAACACTCTCTTGTCCCTTTTAGGGTGCCGGTTCTGTCACTGCACCCACACACGCAGCACAGGATTGATGGCACAGCGCTAAGACAGTACTTGTTTCTTACATTTCATCTTTTCTTCAAAAGTTCCTCGGAGAAACACTGACAGTCCTTTAACCCACTCTTGTGCGTTTATATAGTTATCACTGTCTTTGTCAAATACATAGAACACTGGAAAGGAAAAGGAGTGTGTAAGTGTATTGTAATTGTTTTATAACACGCACACATACCCATTTATATAGAAAACTTTACTTACAAATCAAGGAGGAACTGTTTTGGTGTTAGCTTTTGAAAGAATCAAAATTATTGGTAATGTGGGTTTTTCTCTTTATTTCTAAAGCAGAATAGTCATTCCACACAATGAGCAATAATGATCCTCATTTGTGGTGTTTCATGGAGTTGCTAAAGGCAAGAAGATCTAGAGCTAATTAGCGACAGTTTAATAATCAAAAATAAAAAGCTGTGAGAAACCTGTTGTAGTTTCCACGTCTCAAACTAAATTACTAATGTTAAACATTTCTTATGTGTTTCTCACTTGTGTGCGTGTGAGTGCACGAACATGTACCATGGCCTTGTGTGGAGGGCAAAGCCTTGTGGAACTGGCTCTCTTCCATTTTAGGTTGGTTCTGGGGACTGCAGCTCAGGAAGCCAGACTTGCTGACCTATCTGGACCGTCCAGTTTTTAAAGTTATCAATGAAACGTTAGTATCCTATAGAAAAACATTCAAATGTTATTTGATCTTTGGAGAGGAGGGGTATATTGATGATTTTATTTGTGGCAATGGCTTCACAGATATGCATGTGTCAAATCTTATCAAAAATGTATATTTTAATGATCTGCTACAGAACTTAACTAGGTACACCAATCACTTTCGTGTTTTAGACACGTGACTTTAAATATTTCCAATATAAAATGTCATTTTTTTACTGACACATTTATATGAAAAACGCCAGTTAATGGTTTACACATTGGTGACCTGGACTTTGAGGATCCACAGCTCTGTCGTGTACTTTCATGACTAAAAGCCCTCAGTTGTTTGTCCTTAAAAGATACCGCTAGACTCTTTAGTTCAGTGGTAGTGATTTCTCAAAACTTCCCTGCTATGAGCTACAAAATTGGGCGTGGTTTGTACTGAAATCCATCCTCACATTCCCTCTGGCTGCTGTGTGCAGCACTCGCCTGCCAGGATTATTCCTTTCTAGTTTGGCACTGAGAGAAAGTCCAGTCTTGTGGACGGGTTCAGTTTGGGGTTGGTTCGTTTCAGTTTGTTGTGACTCCTTACCCCTATTCATCAACGTATCATCAGTCATTCCAAATATGTTGTGTAGGATCCCCCGAAACGTGTTGCAGTCTAGTCTGGCATTAGCAAGCTTTCCACTGGGCCTTTCCGCCAAGCTGCAGAAAAGGCGTATGAGACATTCAATCTCACTTTTCTTGACTGTAAAATAAGAAGACAAAAAAGGATGCAGAGTTAATCACTGAGTAATTCAATGCAGTCACAGCTAGTTAGTTCTTAGGACACCAAACGTCCATATAGGATGTGAATTTGTTACTGAGTGGTTTGTAGTGTTTTGCTTCTACCAGATCTGCAGGCTTCAAAATGGAAATTTGGAATAGTCACACAGTGGCTCTCATTCCAGACTTAGAAAGTGATGTTTAGGCATGCACAGGTGATGTACAGTTGGGACAGAAACCAGGCGTTAGGCCTGGGGCTGGGGACAAGAGTTAAAGCATCTGGACTCTGTTTCCATTTCTTATTAAAGTTGATTTATTTTGGTTTTATGTGTATGGTGTCTTCTCGGCATGTATATCTGTACCACATATGTGCAGTGCCTTTGGAGGCTAGAAGATGGCATTAGATCCTCAGGGACTGGAGTTGCAGACGGTTGTAAGCCACTATGTGAAATGAGCCTGGGCCCTCTGCAAGAGCAGCAAGTGCTCTTAAACATCAAACATCTCTCTAACCCCCGTTTCTATTTCTTATCTTAAACTGGTAACTTAATGACTCGTTGGTCCCTCACTAGTAACAGCTGAGTGTCGTCCTGGGTGATGTCAGATTCTTCAATCTCTTGAATGTCTGATTCTGTGACTTGAGGGACTGAAGTGGAAAGTGACCGCTGGTTGCCACTTTTGTTTTCCTTTGCTTTTTCTTGATTCTTTCCTTGTTTGTGGAAGAAGGTGAGGAGAAAGAAATAACCATTTCTGTGTAAATAGTTTACAACATGCAGGACTCTCTATGGTTTGAAGAATGTGGTAGTTCTTAGGGTAGTGGCTGAAAATCTAGACAGTAAGCAATTTCAAAGGTGCCTAATAACATTTATTTTATGGACCAAATTAAGATATCTTGCTTCTTAATAGAAGCATATTGTACCAGTGCAGCCCTGAAATAGGATGTAATGGTTATTTTTATTCATTGCCTAAGTCTTAAGGGACACCGATGAACCAGGGAACTGATAGATGTGACTCCTACCTTGAAGGCTGTTGCAGGCTGTTAAGAGATACGTAAGTGACTACTAAGTGGTAGAGCTTGCCTAGTGTGATTGACAGCTCCTCTTAAACCAGTTGTTAAGTATCAAACAACGTATTATAAATCACAAACCAAAGGATTATCAACTAGGGAAGATGCCGTGCTGTAGGACAATGGTATTACCCTCTCAACATTTGTTTTTTATACTTGTTTAATAAAATGCTGATTGGCTGGTAGCCAGGCAGGAAGTAGAGGCCGGGCAATGAGAACAGGAGAATTCTGGGAAGAGGATTCTGCAGTCTGCAGTCGTGACCCAGCCACAGAGGAAGCAAGATGTGACTACCTCACGGAAAAAGGTACCAAGCCATGTGGCTAACTCAGACAAGAATTATGGGCTAATGTAAGTTATAAGAATTAATAAATAAAAAGCCTGAGCTAGCCAGGCGGTGGTGGCGCACGCCTTTAATCCCAGCACTCGGGAGGCAGAGGCAGGCGGATCTCTATGAGATCGAAACCAGCCTGGTCTACAAGAGCTAGTTCCAGGACAGGCTCCAAAACCACAGAGAAACCCTGTCTTGAAAAACCAAAAAAAAAATAAAAAAATAAAAAGGGGGGGGGCTGGAGAGATGGCTCAGTGGTTAAGAGCATTGCCTGCTCTTCCAGAGGTCCTGAGTTCAATTCCCAGCAACCACATGGTGGCTCACAACCATCTGTAATGAGATCTGGTGCCCTCTTCTGGCATGTGGGCATACATGGAGACAGAATGTTGTATACATAATAAATAAATCTTTAAAAAAAAAAGCCTTAGCTAATGGGCCAATCAGTTTATAACTAATGTAGACCTCTGTGTGATTCTTTGGGACTGAATGGTTGCAGGACTGGGCAGGACAGAAAACCTCAGTCAACAGTGCTAAGAAATGAGATATTCAAAGTGGCAATATCACTGGAGCAGGGTCTTGAAGGAGCAGGCACTTACTTAGGCGGCAGTTTGAAGACTCGGGGTTTTTCTTGTTTGTTTGTTTGGTTTTTCAAGATAGGGTTTCTCTGTATAACAACTCTAGCTGTCCTGAAACTATTTCTGTAGACCAGGCTGACCTCAAACTCAGAGATCTGCCTGCCTCTGCCTCCCGAGTGAGTGTGCTGCGACCACCCAGCTGACTCGGGGCTTTTGAGTTCTAAGAGTGGCAGACGGTCCATGGGCATGTTGGTAGATGTTTTTTTGTTTCGTTTTTTTTTTTAATCAGAAATGTTTATTTTTTGCTTATTTTTCTCAATTTTTTTTTAATTTGGGAATTTCACACAATGAACCCCATCACACTTGTTTCCCAATCCTCCCCCAGCATTGTGCCCCCCGAAAAGGGAAAAAAATACACTAAGTTCAATTTGTGCTGCCCATGTACTTGGAGGAGGATCAAGCTCTCAGTGCCAGCCTTAGAGACAAGTCCTTCCCCGCCCTACCCTATCAGAAGCCACACACTTCCGCTTCTTGTCACAGTTTCTAAGGGTTCTCTCCAATGGCTTCCTGTCTAGACTTTTTGGGGTGTATGGCGTTGTCTCTCATTCTCAGCTGTGATTCTGCAGCCATCATCTACAGCGCAAAAGAAGCTTCCTTGCCCATAACAGCCAGTGGCAGCTTGGATCATGAACTTGGTTCAGGCAGCGGCACAGACCGTAGACCTCATCAACATGGTGCCCGCTGGCAGCATGGACTACAGACACGGCCCCTGGTGGGAGCCCCGATGATAGTCCTCGTGTGTTGGCAGATATTACAAACAATATGAAACGATAACCAGACCTGTATTTAAGTTTTCAACCACTTTCATAAAAGTCTTGAAATTATTTTCGAATGGAAAAATCAGCGATTTGTATTTTGCTACCTGGTCACAAGTGTGTCTGTCTTTTATTTTTATTTTTTTGATACAAAGTCTCACAGTGTAACCCAGGCTGGCCTGAAACTCTTGATCTACGGCCCCAATTTCCCAAATACTAGTGTTACAGGCATGTGCTATTGTGTCCAGCTACATGACTTTGATTTTCCTTAGAGAAATGAGGTCTAAGTAGCCACCCTTTAAACTAGAGACTTGACTGGAGCGGTGGTGGTGTGCGCACCTTTCATCCCAGTGCTCAGGAAGCAGAGGCAGGTGGATCTCTGAGTTCAAGGCAAACTAGGTATACAGAGTGTGTTCCAGGCCAGCTATGTCTACACAATGACACCTGTGTTAAGACAAAGCAATGCAGTGAGATCTTTGTGATGGTTTCAGCTAATCGTAGATAGTAAAAATAGGCCTATGATTGAAGGACAATACCTACTGTGATATTGCCATTTCCTCTCAAGTCCTGGAGGTAGGCTCCTTCCAACCAACAAAGTAAAAGAAACCAGCAAGGTTCAGGCAGTTGAAATCTGAGAAAGCCCCCTGAGACTTGTGCTCTTCCCCAGCGTCATGTAAGTGGTAACAAGTGCTGGGAAGGGGCTCTCTTGACTGAGCTGCCTACAAGTTGTACTCCAGGCATGCAACTTTTTCTTAAATTCTTTGACAGGTTCATACATGTATATAATGAATTTTAGTCTTTTTCACCTGCTACTATGCTCATCTCCCCCATTGAAAACTTTCCAAGTCCCCTTCCCACTGTCTTTTTTCTGTGTCCCCCACTGAGTTCAATTAGGGCTACTTGCCTGGCTGTGTGGGAGGTTGCTTACCTTCAGAGAGCAGCAGTAGGCTATACTACTGAAGAATGATATCCCTTCCCCCAGCCACTACTAACTGTCCTCTCCCCTTCCCATGATGAAATGTTGGCAGGCTCGTCTTGACATGTGGGCAACCACAACTGCAGAGCTCATCAGTGTAGCAGGAATGTCATGTCAAGGAAGTCTTCCTTTTGTAACACATCTCCCCATCCTCCAGCTCTTTATTCTTCCTGTCTCCCCCTCTTCAACAACGTTCCTTGAGCCTGGAATGGGTGGTATAGACCAGCCATTTGGGGATGAGCAATCAATCCATCAGTCTTTATTTCGGCTCTTTAACCAGTTAGGAATCTCTATGTTATCTGTTGTCTATTGTAATAGAGCTTTTCTGATGAAAACCAAGAGCAACACTAATTCTGTGCAAACACAAGTATTTAGAAAGTGGTTTAACCATGTCCTTTCTGCAAAGTGATAGCAGTGGGTTCCTCTTTAGGTACTAGGATCTACCTGCCGCCAGCTCTTGATCAAGGGTACAGTCCTAACCCTGGGGCAGGCCTTGACTGCAATTAGAAAATTGTTACCTCCAAAACATTCATGCCACCACAGCATCAGTGGACACATCTTGCCAGGGTAGTTGTTATTGTAAGAGTGTTGATAGCTTTCCTCTCCCAGAAGCCTCCAAGAGCACCCTAGGCACTGGGAAAGCTAGCCAGCAGGAGGAAGCATCCAGCTATTACAACTTGATCTTTAAGTCCTCTTAGAAATCTCCAGAGTGTGTGAGACCTTCAGCAACAGAGTCTTAACATCAAGTTCTAGCAGAAGGGCAATGACATCTATTGTTCTGGGGACTCTCTAAGCAACAACTCAGAGGGAAATATCCCACTCAGCACTGCACTGAGATTTTGTTTGATAACAAGGCCTCTAGGACAAGCACTAGGGGATGCAGGTCTCTGCCTCTCATGCTTGCTGCCATGGTGTCCCATCATGGTGGACTGTATATTTAAATCATGAGCCAAGATAACCCTTCCCTTCATACACTGCTTTTGTTGGGTAATTGCCACAGATGCACTATAGTAACTTACAGGTTGGGTCATGTAGGAGCTGCAGCTGCCAAGGGCAGTAACTACAGCTTCCAGTTTCTTCTGATGTGGGTTTACTATGAGTACATAGGATGGGTTTTTTTTTTTTTTTTTAATTTTTTGCCTTGTGCTCACGACTCTCCTACCTTAGCCTCCCAAGAGCTGGGATGACAGGTGTGCCCTGCTACACCCAGCTGGAGTGAGCTTTAAACCATTTCACAATTGATCAGTCCTTTTCCTGCAGTTTCTAGTATCAGCATCATAAACTGTGGTAAAGGCTGCAATTGCATTTTAGCAAATTTTCCACTAATGGCCTTTTAAAGGGCCAGTTAAGTGTTAAGATCCAGTGGGTGATCAATTTCAGTGTTTCCTTGGTTTTCCTGATCGGGATTGAATGTGTAGTCTTTCTCCACTATGGAGTAATGCTAAGATGAAGGGCTGCTGCAACCAGGTACTTAGGTTTCAAGCCAAGGCCACATATATGTTTGCCTGTTCCTCCTACTCTATGTTCAAGTCCTACCCTCCAATGTGGTAGTAATAGGGAGCAGGGCCTTTCTGAAGGGATTGTTTGGCGCCCCATCAAACGAGATGCCAGTAGCCTATCAGCCAGAAAGCGGGCTGTTCACTCTCCTATAACTTAGAATTATCAGCACTCAGAACCATACACAGTAAATTTCCAGGCTTACCTTGTATTATTCCTTTTTCTACCCCTGCCTAGAGTTCTAGTTTTTCACTTGAGAAAGCAGCTTCTAACCCTTCCCCCCAGAGCTAATTAGGAAATATGTATGCCAACCATGTAATACTGCTATATCATTTTGTCTCAAAACGCCTAGAGGTGGCCCTGTTGTAAGTCTGAGTTAATTTTATTAAAAACTCATTAACACTAAGAACCAAAGATTTGGAGCCAAAGGACAAATATTAAATGTTTCCCTCCCTTTGCCAGGAGTGGATCAGAGATGCAGCTCAGTGTCTCTGACTTTTGGCAAGGGGCCTGACAAAATACCTTCAGAGATAAACATGTAGGTTTCAAAGTTAGAGACACACAACTAAACAAAACTTGCTGCTGAACACAGCGATGTAAGGTGAGTATCATTAGCCATGTCGAGAAGAATGGTAACGTTCCCAAGCGTCTGCAAGCAAACACTTCCAGCAGCCACTTTAAAACGGAGCACTTGTGAAGGCAAAGACTGTGCTGGATGAGAGTCACTTCTAGATACTCAAAGACTAAACATTAAATGACTAGAACAGTTGTATCAAGATTGGAGTGCAGTTTGGATTGGGTGCCTCCTCTAAAGACTCATCGAGGTGGCAGTACATCTCTGATGGTGTAGCTCCTTCTATGATTTTCAAATCTGCCTTGAACTTCTGACCCTCCTGTCTGTACCCTCTTAAGTGTTAGGAATATAGGTGTGAACCACCACTCTGTTGATATGGTGTTAGGGTCTGAACCAGAGGCCACGTCCATGCTTAAGACACCCTAGAACACATCCCGACTCCACAATCCTCTGTACTTCAGTCTGTACACAGGCTACAGACTGTGAGCCCCATATACCACGATGTAGTCACCTCTTTTCTGGGTTCTCTGTGTAGTTTGGAATCTGTCCTCATTACCCCATCTGTAGCCCAGGCTGGCCTCAAATTCAGAGATCCTTCTGCCTCTGCATCCCGAGAGCTGGGATTAAAGGTGTGCACCACCACTGCCTGCCTTGTAACCACCTTTTCACAAATGAAATAGGTGACAACAGGATGTTAATCTGTTCTGAGATTAATATTCAGTCTGTTAACCCCAGGAGAATGGAATTTGCAGCCACGACACCAGTATTCAGAGGTAATTCCCTGCCTTTGTGCCTAGTCTAAAACTAGACAATTATTACCCTGAAAAGGGAGTAGAAGGGCATCTTTAGTGCTGCCTGCCCAATAGTGTTCCCATCTGGGCTGCTCTCCTTGGTAGTCACTATGCATAGGTGAACACTGAACAGCGGCTAGTGAGAGGAAGAAAATGGAATTTTAAATTATTTACAGATGGTCATATATAGCCAGTGCCTACTTTTTGGACAATGCAACTCTAGAAAGTAGCTCAAAGTTAATAGACATAATGTACATTAAGTGTAGAAATCAAAGCTTTCTAGATGGATCTTAAAAAAAAATGGCAACAGTTATGTTGTAAAGAATTTTCTTTGTGAGGTCACTAGCTTTCTGAGGGTCTGAGTCACTTGGTGGCTGTTGATTATAAGAGAACTTTGGTCATATTATTATATAAATAATAATAAATTATGTCATAAATTTTAAAGATTCCCTCTAAGAAGCTCTAAACCAGCAGTTCTCATCCTGTGGATTGTGATCCCTTCAGCAAACCTCTATCTCCAAAAATATTCACAGAATTTTATACAATACATACCAGTATCTGCTAGTTATGAAATAGCAAGAGAAATAATTTTATGGTTGAGGGTCACAACATGAGGAACTGTCTTAGTGTTGCAGCATTAGGGAGATTGAGAACCACTGGGCTACCAAAGCCCAGGAAACTTCTGTCCTCTGGGCCTAGGACGTTGTACACTAAGGAAAATAAAAACACAAGTTCTCCTAAAGAAGCCTAAGGTAAGCCAAACTGCCCATGCCTGTTCTGTGTGAGCATGATGCAGAAGGCCAACAGAGCTGTCTGGGAGACCCGCGGAGCAGTGGGAAGGCTCTGAACCTGTCACCGTCAGAGATGCCAGTGTGTGGCGTTAGAAGACTCACGCCATTTGTGAGCACCTCTCATGCCACTGGGTTTGTTTATAATCCAAGTATAAAACAGGTAACTAGTCAGGCCAGGATAGGACCTTGAGAGCACAGCTATGCTTAACCATTCCGTCCGAGGATTTTGAACAGAACTGGAAATCAATGTCAAAACTTTTGAAAAAGGGAAGAAATGCAACAATTCATTTCATTTTAAAAACAGTATCCTTGCTGATCAATTATTGTATTTTTTGTTTTGGTTTGGTTTTTTCAAAACAGGGTTTCTCAGTGGTTTTGGAGCCTGTCCTGGAACTAGCTCTTGTAGACCAGGCTGGTCTCGAACTCAGAGATCTGCCTGCCTCTGCCTCCCTAGTGCTGGGATTAAAGGCGTGTGCCACCACCGCCCGGCTCAATTATTGCCTGTGAAACTGCTTTCAAGAATTAAACACATGGGTAGCAGACATATCTAAAATAATTTCATTAGGATGAATTTAGATTTTAAAAACAAAACAAAATTTCCTTTTCAATGTTATGAAATACACTCCTTTTAAAAAGCAGTAAATGGACTAAGGGAGACGTCTGGGCTGGAGTTTGAATCCCCAGCATCCATGGAAAGACCTGGTACAGCAGTGACTGTATATGGCTTCTCTCCAGCACAGGAGAAGCAGAGATAGCTGGTGACTTCCAGGGTTAGTTTAGTCCATCTTAAAAAACAAAACCTACAGAAACAAGATTGAACAAGACACCAGGGTTTACCCACCTCTGCCCCTTACACAATACACACTCCTGCGTGTATGTGAATCCAGGTGTGTGCCATGTGCATATATAGAAGCAATAATCAGTGTTTACTGTACTCATTGGCTAAATTTATAAAACTGTAAGGGTTACTAAGAATTAAATGATAGAGGTTAACAAAAGAGATCTGGAGTAGTGCTTGAGGGATTCGGATAATTTTATAGCCCAACTTGAATAGGGAAAGCTAAGCCAAGCTTGCAAGAGTCTTAATTAACATTGTGTCCACCCACCTGAAGTCCAGAGGAACAAGGAAGTTACATAACGTCAATGCCTAGACGGAAAATGACTACCATGCAGGATTTGTAGCTGTCTGAGAAACAAACCCTTGGGAGAATGCATCACAGTTTTCAGGGCAAGGATTAAGAAAACTGACCTAATAAGCTGTGTATAGCAAGCACTGTAACATGGAAAGCATCACACTATTCATTTTGTTGGAGACAGGGTCGCACCGTGTAGCTCCAGTAGCCTGAAATTCTCTATGTCGATCAGACTAGGTTTGAGCTCAGAGACCCACCTGCCTCTGCCTTCCGAGTGCTGGGATTAAAGTTGCTCACCAACATGTCTGGTCAGGAGCATTAAATTATATTTAAAGTTTTTTGGGTCTATATGTGTATGTGTGTACACAAACATGCCACAATGTGTGAGGGAGGTCACAACTTTGTGGATTTTTTTCCTCCCACTTTCCACGGTTTTTGCAACCAAACTCTGCCTGTCAGGCACGCATCCCCCAGCATCAAGTTCCATTATCCACTGAGCCATGTTGCCACTCCTACCCGAAAGAGTTGTTATTGCATACAAACGTGTGGAGGGCAGAGAGCTTGGGAACTGGTTCTTTCCACTATCGTCTCCAGGAACGGAACTCAGGCCGTCCAGCTTGCATGGCAAATGTGTTCACCTGCTGACCCACTTCACTGACTAAATCATCTCATGTGTTTCTATTAATCCCTGAAGTAAAGCAATCTGTAACTGAGTTTCGTACCAGAAACCACTGGAACTGGTCAAATTGATTGTTTGTAGTTAAAAATTCTTATTGTGAACAGAATAAAATCTATACTTGGTTGGCAGGTAATTCTTTTGCATTTATGTATTTTCAAGACACTCTCCCCACATGCCCAAATGGGTCAGGACACCTGATGGCTTCCATGTTTCTAAGTACATGGTAATGGCTCACTTGCTCATCTACTTGAGAAGTAATTTGTTATTATTTTGTGTGTGGAATGTAGGTCAGGACAGCTTTCTGGAGTCAGTTCTTATGGCCCCAAGAGACCAAAAGCAGGCTCTCCAGCCTGTGTGGCAGAGCTTTACAAACCTGACCATGTCTTACCCACCACCACCTCAGGGTCCCACTGTGTAGTCCTGGCTGGCCTGGAACATGCTCTAGAGCACCTGACCTCAGAGATCCCCCTGCTTCTGCCTCCCTGAGCACTGAGATTCAAGACATGTGCTACATGTGTGGCTCTTATTTTTTTTAAATGACCGAATATAAAGAACTAGATTTAGTGTATGGTCACAGAGCACTCTGTGCTGTCTAGCAAGTTAGCAAGTTTCTATCTAATCCACTGACCAACATCTGTCTCAGCGAATCACAGTGTAGAAACAGTTGAAGATTGAGTACTCACAGCTCTTGACAGTTTTACTGATGGATTCCACCAGCTTCTTGAGAGGCCTTTGCTCCATTTTAAGGAGTGGCTGATTCAGCACACTGCTTTCCCAAATAGTCTACTTCTAAACTGACACTAACGCTACTACTCCAAACAGAATGTGGCCAGTGGCAACCTCCTAGCAACTAGACAGAGTATTCTCAAGCAGCTGGAAAGGTAAAGAAATGGATGCTGCCAGCCAGTACATATACAGGGAAGTCGTTAAAGTTCTGTGTATCTGAAAACTGTAGCCACTTCTACATTTAAGATCGTGTAATATGGTATTTTCACTTATAGTTCCTCAGTGAAAATTCAAAACATTTTTCTATTTGAACATATAACTAAAAATTATTACAAAGCCCTTCTTTAGATTACAATAATTTCCCAAGCTATGAATAGCTCCTTCAAAGGCTGTCACCTACTCCAAATCTGTATTTTGGGTAAAATTAAATTTGGACACTTTTAGGGCACTTAAAACACTTAAGGGCAACCAAAGGACTCCTAAGTGCCCACAAAAAGCTAGCGCTGGTATGAAGACAGCAAACGTTTCAGCAGACACTCATCACTTTCTGGCAGCTGTCATTCTGTAAGAGATGCGCCTTGTTTGCCAACTTGGTATAAAATCACCCAAAAGAGAAAAGGCAAGTTTTGGTGGAAAAAGGAAGGTATGTTATTAACTTACACATTACTGTAGTCACTGAATTAATATAAGGAACAACCATAAATATTCTTTCATCCTTCTCAGGAGAGTTGCTTCGGTCACCACCAAACACCAAGGTGAGCCCTAGACAACAGAGTCTGAAAAGGACACACCATTCTTCTAAATCACCTGCTTCCCACCTTCTCTGGTCCAACAAACAGCTGCTTCTTGCAGGCTATAACTGTCATATCTAGACAAACCCATAAACCGCCCCTGTACACCTAGGAAAAGTCATCAACAACTGGCCAAATAGTCTTGAACATCAATTCTGCAAAAAAAAATTTTTGGAGGAGGTATCATATATCCCTCAAATGTTTTGATACCCTATAGTAGGAAATATTTTAAGGAACCTCCCAGGAAATGTGTTATTTTATCACTAAAAACCTTATATCCCTCAAATGTTTTGATACCCTATAGTAGGAAATATTTTAAGGAACCTCCCAGGAAATGTGTTATTTTATCACTAAAAACCTGAGGGCATATTTATCACTAACTTTTGTAGCTACCTGTGACCCAAAGGGAGATAAGAGCACAGCTATTTTAAGTAAAATAGCTATTTATTCAGCCTCTTTCATGCCAAAAATGTTCTGTGCATATTCCACTATAATTAGCACACACTCTGACAGGCAAATTGTACATTGTTATATTCATATTACCTGATTATATAAAAGTGTAAAATGAAAATGACTTATCAATTCCTTTCAACATTCCTAATAACTCAGAGATGAGGCACAAAATCTCAGTAAAACATGACACAGAAAGAGCAGTAATGTAGTTTCATGTAAGTTAACATGTCATAATCTGTTATTAATATACAAAGACAACAAACTTTTAAAACATTCTATTTACTAAGATTCTGGCAACAGCTTTATGTAACAAGATACAGCATACTAGGCCTGCCACTCAACTTGTTTGTGGTAAAAGTCTTAGCTTCAATATGAAGCTTTTAAAAACTAAATCCAAAAGTCCTGCTTTTTACATGCTAAATATCTTGTGTGCCACTAAACATAGTAATGAACTTAAGACAGCAAGAGTAAGGAGTTAAAAGTTAAACACTGCAGCCTAAATAAAATCTATACAAAACATAAAGTAGCTATCACTGGCTACATAACCCCTTCTGACTGGTTAAGACCTGCATAAAACATCCACTTTAGAATTGTTAGCTATCAGTTCAGAAAGTACCAGTGTCTACTAAACACTTCTCCAAAGTCAAAGTGTAGGCAGAATTAAATCAAATGACAACACAATCTAACCCTAAGAAACATTCAGATATTACTGAAGTGGAGGTAAATGCCAGAGCTGTGGGGGCTTCTCATGCTGCAAAGGGCCGAGTATCTCTGGTTCATTCAAAGCAGCATACAATGGATATCACTAACCTCACTCAAGGGCAGGACTGATGGTGCCCAGCTCTGACCTCCCAGGAAGCATGGCTACTGTGTCCACAAAAGTAGTGTGAGATCAAAGGCACGCTGTTCTGGTAGCTAAAGAGATAGCAAACCAACCCCCTCCCCTTAAAAGCTCCTTCCCCAAGTAAATAAAAATATACATGGGGAAAATTAAAATACACTTATCTACAGCATAAGAATTTTGAAATATTAATGTAACCCCTACTTTGAAAATTTCCCTAGAGTCACCTCATTATTTCTGGTCACATCTTAGAGATGGATTCAGACTGTTTCTGTTGACTTATCCTAAGTACATCTAGTAAAAAATATTAGCTTTATTCCAAATATCTTAACCACTAATATGACTGCAAAGTACAGTCCTCCAGAGTCATCGAGCACTGGGAGAGAGGAAAAGGTGTTCAGGCAGCAGGCAACAATCATGGCCTTTCATACAGCAGCATTCAAGTGGCTACTGACTAGTCCAGGACAGGTCTAAACACAAGGGAATTCATGCACGTTACTACGTATGTCGTTATCTTCACAGTTAAGAGCTCCTTCACCATTGCACCCTGTAAGGGACCCTGCCTGGTCTTCCCGATGCTATGACGAGTCTGAACTGGAGCTGGCAGCCTTCTTTTTCTTCTTCTTGCTGTGCTTCTTATGCTTCCTTCTCTTTTTGGCTTTATCTTTATCCTGTAAAGACAATCCCATGGCAGGCATTACTACTGTGCCCATTTGAAAACATGCCAGTTAAGAACACTGTCACTTCTACATTTCAGCTACCACAGAATAAATAACTAGAGAAGCAACCAAGCTGGTTAGGGCATTCTAGAAAAGCCTCCATAACCACAACTATGGAGTCTAGGACCACTTCTAACAGAAACGTCTATAAAAGACTCAACTGAATCATGCTGCCAATCGCTACTTTCAGGTTATAGATACAGCTTCCCAGGGAAAACGAACTACAGCTCTAATACAGCAAGATGCAGCTGCTTTAGAGAAACGGCAGTTTTTGTGAGGGTGCAAGTATTTAATATTTTTAAATTGGAACATAACTGTACTGTTCAGACTACAGCACTACTTTAATTGCTAATACTAACTACTAATACAAAATACTGATATATGCATAAAGGTATATTTTATTTAATAAAACATAAGCTTACTTATTTTTGAGACAGGGTCTCCTGTAGCCTAGGCTGGCATTGAACCTTGAACTCCTGATGCTAGGATTACAGGCACATACTTCCATATCTAGTCAAATGCCTGATTTTTACAGGGAAATCACTGCTCTGGAAAAGCAGTCATATTCTTAGTGGGTAAGGGTGCTGGAGTTTTACTGAACTTAACTCCTCTGAGTGCTTCTGTTACAGAAGTAAAAGCATCATTTCGAGGCTACTGCTGAGGCTATTCAGGAGGAAAAAGTGGTATGCAAGCAAGGGAGGCAGAGATCCCTCTCCTCTGCTACTGTTACAGAAGAACCTTGCAGCTTGCCTTCTTGGAGATGCTGAAGACAGAGTGACAGCTCTGGCTCCCAGAGCTGCTGTTCGTTCGTTCGTTTGTTTAAAGCATGTACTTAGATAGAATTCTACAAAAAAATCCCCAAATCTTAAGTGTATTTACTGTGGTACAAGGGTGGAACCCACAGTCTTGCACATATAAGGCAAGTACATTACACTGAATTAAACCCTTAGGCCCATGGGGAGGCTTTCTTTAGCTACTCACTCTTGTCCCCATATATACACTCTGTTCTCTAAGAACTAGACCATGCCTAGTGGAGATGCTGGTTAACAAACATACACCAGTAGAAAGAGTAATAGTACACACTAGACTTAGCCAAATGTTTTTCTAATTAATCAATCAAACTAAACTACAGTGTAAAACAGTCAACCAAATTATTTTTGCATTCATAAAAAAGAGCTTCTTGTCACAAAACACATAAAATTGATTTTGGAATCATGTAAACCCAAGTGAGCCCAACTTCCAGAGGAAGTACTTATATTAAAGTTCTAGGGAAAGGCTACCCTGACCTACAAATGGGGTATCCTCACTTCTTTCTTTTAGCTCTCCTGAAGAAAGTGCCTTCAAAGGTACCCACATGTACACAGAGAACCCTGGCATTACTTCACAGGCAGGGTCTGCACTACACTCTGAAGGAATCAGCTATTTTGTTCTTTCTTTTTTGGGGGGAGGGGGGAGCACTACTTCTCCTTTAAATACATTCCCGTTTTCTTAAATTTTCTTTCTCTTTTCCTATTTCTCAATTTGCATAATGGCAGAACTGGTTTTAAAAAGGAAATGGTAAACCGGGCAGTGGTGGCTCACGCCTTTAATCCCTGTGCTAGGGAGGCAGAGGCAGGAGGATCTCTGTGAGTTCAAGACCAGCTAATTCCAGGACAGGCTCCAAAGTCATAGAGAAACACTGTCTCGAAAAACAACCCCCCCAAAGAGCTGGAGAGATGGCTGGTTAAGAGCACTTTTGTTTTTATTTTTTATTTTTTTTTGGCTCCAAGGATTCTTGGGTAGACCTGGCAGTCCTCCAGCTCCCAGAGATCCGCCTGCATCCTAAGTGCTGGGATTAAAGGTGCGCCACTACTCTCAGCTTTGACCTTGTATTTCTGACAGTAAGATACTGAAGAGGGGCAGGCGCTGTTTGCTCCCCTTTCCTAAGCCTACTTGCTTCTCTCCCATCCAGTAACCAAAGGTGATGGACACGCACTCTTCCTAGTCTTCATTTGATCCCAGCAGAATTAAGGTGACATTAAAGAACAATGGGCCTTTAATCCCAGCACTAGGAAGGCAGAGGCAGGTGGATCTCTGTAAATTCAAGGCCAATCTGGGCTAAAGAGTGAGTTCCAGAATAGGCTCCAAAACTACAGAGAAATCCTGTCTCAAAAAACAAAAAAACCCCACAAACCCCCAAAACCAAACCAAACAAACAAAACTGGGCCTGCTGGTATCTGTAAAACATAAGATACTTGCTGTTCTCTCGCGCACTTCACCACTTTTCTTCCTTTTCGCCTGCACCTACAAAGTTGAAATGTTTGTGAATAGAAGACAACCATGTCATTTTTACTTAGTACATATATCTTACATGTTCAAGTCACATGTAGAAAATTTTGATTATAAAAATTATTTTTATGAATTCTGTTATGTATCAATAAAGTTTCAATAAATGAAACAAAAGTTAAGATTTTAAAAGTTTTTAAAGTCTTCCGTTGCATTGTCTCAGCACCAAGAACAAGCAGTGTGACTGTGGGAGGCATCACGAACTCTAGCATAGCACAGAGCACACCTGATTCTCAATTCTGTACTGTTAAAACTACAGAGAGCAGCGGGTTAAAATCCTTGTAAATAACAATGGTTGTATCATTTGTATTTCCTTTTGACCTTTTAAAGTACAGTGTGCTGAATTCAAACTAAACTGAAAGTTGTTAAAGCCCGTGTGTGTGTGTGTGTGTGTGTGTGTGTGTGTGTGTGTGTGTGTGTATAAAACCTCTTTAACCTAGGCTGGCCTTATCGCATGTACACCTGCATACCAGAAGAGGGCATCTGATCTCACTACAGATGGTTGTGAATCACTATGTGGTTACCTGGAATTGAACTCGGGACCTCTGCAAGAGCAGCCAGTGCTCTTAACTTCTGAGCAGTCTCTCAGCCCTCAGAGTCCGTGTATATTAAATGTCAATACAAATAAGGTATTCTGTTAAACATTCCTTATTATATACTGGATTAATGTGAAATATAACAATACTAGAAGATAAAAATTGCCTAGCTAGCTATTCAGCTGCATGGCATACCTGTTAGATACATGACACAAACACATAAAAAATGTCCCTGACAATGTAAGGAAGAACATTAGATCCTGTTTGCTTGCAATTGGGTGGCAGCTCTCTGAGAGCTTGTTGAAATGTTGTCTGTCATTCTGGAAACTGACTGGTGGCCATGTATAAGGGTCCAACCCTAGTCTAAACTGAAGATTTTACCTTCCAGTATATATTCAAATACAATTTCGTCAGATTACACATTGTTATGTGCTTCCATTTCTTCTAGTAAGGGACAGTAATATAAAAAATAGTGTAACTAGCTTTTATTAGCTACAAGTTTCATTTAAAAAAGAATAAAACTTACAACTATAAGATGGGGTAACTGGTATGATGGTTCTGAGGGCCATCACCAGAAACCAGAAACAAGAAGTAAAAAAGGAGACAGGTACAAACAAACAGGAAGATACAGAAGGAGCAGG